AGTTATATTATTAGTGTTATTACAAAAATCAAAATTTGAACTTGTTAAAGGACGAAATATTGTTATAATCGGAGCCTATTGGATAATGAAACTTTTTCATTGACTGCAATTACTTGGGAGAAGCTTTTTCATTTTTTAAAAACTTTCAGGAACTTACCCTTTTCCAAATCGAGACTTAATTTTCTAGGGTTCTGGTTTTCCAGAAGCCTGGATCGCAAAACCTTCAATGAAATTTTTATTTGCTACAGACTAGATTGGAAACTTCTTGAGCCACGCAAATCTTTCTTCAGGTTTGTTGTAGCTATTATCTTCGAAGCAAAAAAAGCACTTAGAGATGACTGTCACACAATTTTCTCAGTTTGGATGCTTATACTTCTGTCACAGAAAACACTAAAATGTCTTTTTGCACTTCAGTTTGGTAGAGCAAACATTTTCCTACAAAATGTTTCGGCAGCTCTAAGTGCTTTTTTAGAACTGATTCGAAACGGCTTTGCTGAATGCGCCAATATTGATTATTAATCGGTGTGCGCCTAATTGGGTTATATTTTGATTCAAACCGGAATATAAAACATGCGTCTGTACTGTAAAAGTAGGCTGAACTCAAGCGACTCAATACCCAATAATATTGTGAAAACCCACTATATAGGGCAACCAATATTAGTGGTTCCGAAATATAGGGTAAACAACATTATTGACGCCCATTATATTGTATTGGTGCGTGCCTAATCAATATGTAGTGTATTTTAGTGAAATACTTATGTGTATAAAATATGAGTCATGCATGACTCATAATTGACTATGTAACCCGTTCAGCATTTCCTGGACTACGTTTCGTTTTAGAGATTGCTCATGCACACATTGATGTTTCATTTAGAGAAAATATGATATAAGATAGTTTTAAGAAAATGTAACTTGATAGTCTCAGGTTCGAAAGACTGGGTACTATCTCACTGACCCGACAGGTCAACGTCGTTCATGTTTATGATAATGACTAATTTTCCCGTTAAACACTCCACTTTATATATCACTCGATAGAGAATTTCACGGGCTACAAAATGATGTATAAGATAGTTTTATTTTTGTATAAGATAGAAAATGTAACTGGGTAGTATAAATTGGCAGGTCAACTTCTACTATCTTATATATCATTTTGTAGCCTTATATCAAATAGATTCTACAATGGGATAAACATTACAAATTTAATTGTTTTGTCTAGTAAATTGTATCGGTTTTGAACGGACAAAGAGAATGACCTAAAGCTTATACGGTGCTCAGATACCTTGGCGTTCTAGAAATTTCTGTTTTATAGGGTTTTTCCGACAAAGAACTTTTCTTGAAAAAAAAGTCAATTTTTCGCTTGCTTCACTGTCTTCATTTACGACAACTCTAACTCGCTAAGCAGGCATTTTTAGTCTCCGAATTATTTTATAACCGCATTTCCGTGATCGTCCGTATAATCATTTCTGAGAGTCTTTGACAAAATGCTTCTTAAGTGAAGTTACAAAATTTTCCAAATTCACCTCGTCGTCATCCGTGCCGTCCTCACTGTCATCTTCATCGTCATCTACATTTTCACCCAGTTGATGTCTAAAAAATTTCATATGTACTCTCATGATAATAACGTCCAAATGATATGATGAATATATAGGCTTGTAGATATCATATGCCTTTTTCATGTTGTCCAAAGCTTTTTCAAAATCGTTTAATCGAGAGTAAGCAAGAGATAAATTATTATAGGTACCGCCTATGGAAATGTGAGTCGATGGTAGTGAGTTTACTTGTATTTCAAGTGTTTTATTCAAATATTCGAGCGCCTTGTAATAGTCACCGTATGCTATATAAACTTGTGATATGTTATTATAGGTTGCTGCAAGCGATGGATGGTTAGACGGAAGAATTTTTAATTCTATATTGAGACATTTTTCATACATTTCTAATGCTTCTATATACAGTCCTTGTACACGATAAACTTCACCAAGATTACTGTATGTACTTGCAATATTAGTTTCAATCGGATTGGGTGCATTTAACTCGATATACAAAGCTTTAAAATAACATAATGACGATTTTTCATTATCATCGTTAAGATGATAACAACACGCTAGGTTATTAAACTGAGTAGTTAGTGTAGGATGTGTTTCTGGTAAATGTTCTAGACAAATTTCAAGCGACTTTTTGTACTGCTCAATTGCTTTGTCTTGCTGTCCCCGTGTACTGGAATTGAAGCCAAGATTATTGTACACCGAAGCTAACGAACTATATTCGTTTAGTACCGTGGGATCTTTAAGTAAGAAATTGCAATATTCTTCAGCTTTATCATAATTTGCTATTTCTAACATTAATTTTGATAAATTACCAAGAGGATGTGTAGAAATTATATTCTGTCTCATATAATTTGTTAGTTCTTTTAGTTCTTGATCTTCCTCACCAGTTAACTTTAAATGAATGTTCCAGACGCCTTGTTCACTCATATCAATTGACTGTATACGAAATACGGCGCCCATTGTGAATAATATTTCACTTTCCACCTCATCGAATGCACTTTCAGTCGAAATATTTGCATATGGAAACACACTTGCCAAATTAAACGGTTTCTATTATACTAGTAGCAGCATCCTCAGCGACAGTTAATGTCTGTTGCAAGATATGTTGTTCTTTTAATTGTAGATGCAGATCTTTAATGAAGTACCGTAGTGAATAGAGTGCATCAATATCTTGTTCTCTCAGTGCTTTGTTCAATAGACGATAGAGAAATGTATCGCGTGTGTACCAGAATATGGCATTACAAGCATCATAATAATCTTTGAATTCTTCGATAACTTTTAATTCTGTTTGATTATCTACACATTTTTCACGACAGAATTCAATTATTTCTTCTTCTGTAGATTCAATTTCAATTAAAATATCCCGTAAAAATTGTGCATACATGAATTCAGCTTCCTGTCGTTTAATAGGAACCGATATTGGTTGATTAGTGATGGTAGCAGCGGTCGAACTACAGGGGTCGGCTGCGGTCGACAATGAGGTAATAGAAAAATCTGCACGCACAAATCCTTCTCTGCGTTTCTGCCTCAAATACGGCAGTTGATAGAGTTGATTACGCAGTGATTTCGTATCCGTGTAAAGGCCTTGTACTTTTTTCGACGGTTCAAATGTTTCAATATTTGTGTCATTTGAAAATAAAACATACAATGAATCAACTTGTAAAAGTTGATCACCAAGTTGAAAAAGTACATCTGAACGCAGATAGGATATTGCGTTTGATATTGATATTATCAAAACTACTTTAGTTTCATCTTCTTTTAAATCCGTAATATAGTCAATGCATTCATCTGAATCACGGAATGTAATTAAATACGGGTCAATCTTGCATAAGGAAAGATGAGTTGCACTGTTAATTTTAACAGCAGAAGTAGGTGCAGTGTCATACACTTGATCAAGCCAAATAGTAATCAAACTCTGAAACATTTTTTCTTACTTCTCAGAATACAAAAGTATAAGGGTATTCATCATCTGTTTCCTTCTCAGTTTCAAAAAATGTTACTATATGACGATTCTATTTGAAAATGTAGAATGTAAACTTGTTTTTTTTCTAAGTGTTTACAGTTGCACCAGTAATGGCAAACTTATTATGTGTTAGTAGAGTAGAGAAGGAAGGAATCGAAAGATGCAACATAGTAACTATACACAAAAATTAAAAGAATGAGAAAAAAAAACGTTCTTCTAACAGACACACACCGACGATGGCGCAAGGGTGTGCAGGTAGTAAAAAAATCATCACGCGTTAGGTACAAATAGAGTCTAGGTACAAAAATACAAATAAAATCATATTTTTTTCTGAATTTTACTCATTATGTCATGTATTTCACGATCTGTTGTAAAAATCTGACTATAATGTTAAATTGTGATTACTCGCAGAAATTTTAATTAGAAATCTCAAGATGGTTGATGCGTATTTTCAAAAAAAGTTTTCATCAATAATTATTTTTAATTGATATTGAGTCAATGACTTAAACCAACTCAATTATTTTACCACTTCATTCTCTTCTCCTGTTAGTGAAAAATCTCCACTGTGCAACACAATATCGCCAGCTGGCAGCGAAAAATGGTAGTGTGAATGTGTATCGCTAACATAAACAAAATATGTACTGTTAGATGATGAATTTGATGCCATGGTAAACCTAGAAGAGGGGAAAGAGTTGACTACAAAAGGATCGATATTAAACATGTACACAAAACACATAAGGGATGCCTAATGCAAACTTACAGCGAAGGTTTTAGAGCGCATCGGGCTGGGTAGGAAAATGTATTTTTTAACTTTTCAAAAAATCTCATTCATGGTAAAAAATTTAAAAAACTTGAAGGACGTAAAAATCTGAAAAATGCTCCAACTAGGAAACCGGTTTAACTGTCAAATCGCTTTTTCAATGAGACCTAGTGGATTATAGGTTATTCACTATGCTGATTCCGAATATGACCATGGCAGTCACTCATAGGTCCCCAGAGATCCGATTTTTGGATCCACGAACAGTACTTTCTTGACTGAACTGTGCATTCAAATATGTACTATTCGAATACCGATTTAACTGTCAGATCGTTTTTCCCATAAGACCTAGTGGATTATAGGTTGTCAACTACGCTGATTCCGAGTTGACCATGGCAGTTGCTTGTAGGTCTTCAGAGATCCGATTTTTGGAAAACCAGTTTTTCAGAAACTCTAAAAAATACCCAAAATCTTTCTTGATGAGCAATAATTGTAGCCCGTACATTTCTGATCAGAATGAGACGTCTCGCAGCTATAAACGACCTTTCTTTACTAAGTTATACAATTTACAAGAAAAGCCCTAAATGTTCATTGTCAGCTCAAAACTACAGAAATAAGAAGAAATTAATTTAGGGCTTTTCTTGTAAATTGTATAACTTAGTAAAGAAAGGTCGTTTATAGCTGGGAGACGTCTCATTTTGATCAGGAATGTGCGGGCTACAATTATTGCTCATCAAGAAAGATTTTGGGTATATTTTAGAGTTTCTGAAAAACTGGTTTTCCAAAAATCGGATCTCTGAAGACCTACAAGCAACTGCCATGGTCAACTCGGAGTCAGCGTAGTTGATAACCTATAATCCACTAGGTCTCATGGAAAAAACGATCTGACAGTTAAATCGGTGTTCGAATAGTACATATTTGAATGCACAGTTCAGTCAAGGAAGTACTGTTCGCGTAGTAGAAAGTGAAAGAATAAGAAAGAAATTTCTTGTCCTTTCTGTTCAAACCGTATATATACTACGGATTTTTTCTTCTTTCATTATATGATTTTCCTATACAGTATTTGTGTTTGTATATTCTTGAAAATGGTTGCATGAGCAACCGAAACGTCGAGTATTTTTATTAAATAATAATTAAAAAAATTATTATAAATGCTGCTGTATTAAACAGAAGTATTATTTCCTTGACTGAGAGCAAGGCTTATACATCCGAAAATGTCTGTCTATCTGTCTGTCTGTTCGCAAGAGAGAGAAAACCTGATTTTCTCTTCCAAGAATAGACTAGGACCATCCCTTTGGCACTTTGCTTTGGTTTATATCGATGATATTATCATTTGTTCGTCATCATTTGCGCAGCATCTCCCACATTTAAACGAAATTTGTTCCAAATTGAAACAAGCGAAATTCAGGTTAAATGCAGAAAAATGTGCCATTGCAAAAACACAAATAGAATATTTGGGCCACGTTATTAAACACGGTAATATCTGTTCAAGTCCTGAAAACGTCCGCGGACTGATCAACACACAAGTGCCGAAAACAGCTGCAGAAGCCTGTCGATTTCTAAAGGCAGCCGAATACTACCAAAATTTATTCCAAATTTTCCAGTAATATCGGAGCCGCTTCGAAAATAAATACCAACAACAAAAACGATAGCTAACAGACAACAGAAACGGCAAATCATATTGACAAGTGAAGAAGAAGAGGCGTTCCAAAAATTAAAGACGATTTTGGCGTCGGACTTTGTTCTACGGCTACCAAACAATCAACTATCATTTATTCTTCAGTCAGATGCCTTTTACAATGGCATTGGATCTGTTCTTCTCCAGCAGTATCCTGATGGCATACATCCTCTCGGTTATATTTCAAAGAAGTTGACAACAGCACAGAAGAAGTGGTCCCCATAGAACACGAGTGTTTTGCATTAATGTGCGCATTCGACAAGTGGCATATTTATTTAAGCGGCAGATAATTCACCTGGCAGACGGATTATCAGCCTCTGGTACATTTAAAGAAGAAGGCACAAGTGAACAAACGGTTCGAAAAGTGGTGGCTGAGAATTGCAGAATATCAGATTAAAATTCAACATATTCGTGGTATACGCCATCGAAGCATTGCTCGTTTCCTTTGAAATTAAGTCTGTCATGATTTTTGAACGAAACGAACAACTTTGACCATTTGAGTTATTGATGGGTAATAAACGAAGTAAAAGTAAGATTTTTACAGCACCTTTATATAAAGTTCTAGACTTCTAGCTAAAGCACACACTGTTGATAATTCAGTGAGTAAGGCTGAATGCACCGATGAAGGTGAATAGATACAAAAGGAAAATCGGCTTTAGCCAAGCATGAATCTGAAACTAGACATAAGATTGATTGGATGAATTTCAAAATACTATGGAGTGAAATCCATACAGATTGCTCATAAAAGAGTCATTAGTAATTAAAGCTTATGAACCTTCTCTGCATTTGACAACACATTCAGTATCAATGATTGTTTATTCAGAAGGCTTGCCGAGAAATCTAGTACCTGATCCTAATGGCTAAGTTCATATAACAACTATGTAGTAAATACAAATATCTTCCCGGAAAAAAGTAGTTTCAGTCGGTATTTCTCATATATTGTCACCATAACAAAATAGTTTTTAAAAACCAATGAGATATTCTGAAAGCCCGTGGAGTTTTCTGTAACCTTATGTATTTACATTTTGATTTTCGGTTACGTATCATGGAAAACAATCGGGTACAGCACAAGCACCCTCGACCCGAGATTCCCCGACACAAAATATTTTTTGTGCACTCAAAGTTAGTTTTTTAATTTTTTCACCATCATAAAACT